AGCAACAGCACCAAGGTGTCACCACCAGGCTGGCACTGATGGCACCAAGGTGGCACCGACGGCACCAGGGGRGCACTGATGTGGCACCGATGGCACCAATGTGTCACTTATGGCACTGAAGAGTCACCAATGGCACCAAGGTGGCACCAAGGTGGCACCAGGGTGGCACTGCTGTGTCACCGATGTCACCAATAGCACCAGGGTGTCATGGATGTCCACAGGTGCAGTTGAGGAGTGTCACCTTGCTCAGGTGATGCCCATGCGGTGATGGGTGAATGGTGTCAGGTGTGTCACAGGTGATGATGGCAGTGTGGTGGCTGTCCCCAGTGTCACCCCAATGTCCCCACCTGAGCACCATGAGGCTCTGCACCATCTCCTTGCCCAGGCAGTGTCCATGTGATGATGGGTGATGATGGGTGACGATGGTGACAGGTGTGTCACAGGTGTGTCACAGGTGACAATGACAATGTGATGGCAGTGTGATGGCAGTGTGATGGCTGTCCCCAGTGTCACCCAGGTGTCCCCAATGTCCCCACCTGAGCACCATGAGGCTCTGCACCATCTCCTTGCCCAGGTAGTGTCCATGCGGTGATGAGTGATGATGGGTGATGATGGGTGAACAGTGTCAGGTGTGTCACAGGTGTGTCACAGGTGATGATGACAGTGTGGTGGCTGTCCCCATTGTCACCCAGCTGTCCCCAATGTCCCCAGTGTCCCCACCTGAGCACCATGAGGCTCTGCACCATCTCCGTGCCCAGGCAGTGTCCATGCGGTGATGGATGAACCGTGTCAGGTGTGTCACAGGTGTGTCACAGGTGATGGTGGCAGTGCCATGGCTGTCCCCAATGTCCCCAGTGTCCCCACCTGAGCACCATGAGGCTCTGCACCATCTCCTTGCCCAGGCAGTGTCCATGCGGTCATGGGTGATGATGGGTGAACGGTGTCAGGTGTGTGACAGGTGTGTCACAGGTGACAATGACAATGTGATGGCAGTGTGATGGCAGTGTGGTGGCTGTCCCCAGTGTCACCCAGCTGTCCCCAATGTCCCCACCTGAGCACCATGAGGCTCTGCACCATCTCCTTGCCCAGGCAGTGTCCATGCGGTGATGGGTGATGATGGGTGATGATGGGTGGATGATGGTGACAGGTGACAATGGCAGTGTGGTGGCAGTGCCATGGCTGTCCCCAATGTCACCCCAATGTCCCCAGGGTGTCCCCACCTGAGCACCATGAGGCTCTGCACCATCTCCTTGCCCAGGTAGTGGTCCATGCGGTAGATCTGCTCCTCGCGGAACAGCGCGCTCAGGTGCGCCGACAGCTCCTCCGACGAGCCCAGGTCCCGCCCGAACGGCTTCTCCACGATCACGCGGTTCCACCTGCGGACATGAGTGTGACATGTGTGTGACACGTGTGACATGTGTCACGGTTTCTCCACGATCACGCGGTTCCACCTGGGGACGTGAGTGTGACACGTGTGTCATGGGTGCATCACGGGTGTGTCCCCACCCCCCAGGTGTGTCCCAGGTGTGTGACAGGGGAGGGACAGGTGTGACAGATGTGTCCCGGGTGTGGCAGGTGTGTCCCAGGTGACCCCAGCTGTGTCACAGCTGTGTCCCCATTGTCCCCACTCACCCGTCCCCCATACAGGATGCTCTCAGGTGCCGTGTCACCGGGGTGTCCCCAGGTGTGTCCCCATGTCCCCAGGTGTGTCCCCATGTCCCCAATGTCCCCACTCACCCATCCCCCATACACCGGTCCCTCAGGTGCCGTGTCACCGGGGTGTCACAGGTGTGTCACAGGTGTGTCCCCATGTCCCCACTCACCCGTCCCCCATGCACTGGTCCCTCAGGTGCCGTGTCACCGGGGTGTAGACGCTCGGGGGCAGTGCCAGGTAGAAGTGTGTCCCCATGTCACCGGGGTGTCCCAGGTGTGTCCCCATGTCCCCAGGTGTGTCCCCAATGTCCCCATGTCCCCACTCACCCATCCCCCATGCAGGACGCTCTCAGGTGCCGTGTCACCGGGGTGTAGACGCTCAGGGGCAGGGCCAGGTAGAGCTGTGTCCCCATGTCCCCATGTCACCGGGGTGTCACAGGTGTGTCCCCATGTCCCCAGGTGTGTCCCCAATGTCCCCAGGTGTCACCGGGGTGTCCCCACTCACCCGTCCCCCATGCACCGGTCCCTCAGGTGCCGTGTCACCGGGGTGTCACAGCTGTGTCCCAGGTGTGTCCCCATGTCACCGGGGTGTCCCCATGTCCCCATTGTCCCCATGTCCCCACTCACCCGTCCCCCATACAGACATTCCTCAGGTGCTGTGTCACCGGGCTGTCACAGGTGTGTCCCCATGTCCCCACTCACCCGTCCCCCATGCAGACGTCCCGCAGGTGCCGTGTCACCGGGGTGTCACAGGTGTGTCCCCA